TGACCTTGAAGAGGTGGGCTCCCGTGGGAAGTGTTGGTGTCACTGGAGGTGTGTCCTCTGGGGACTTCCCTGCCTCTGCTCCTTCACGTCCCAACTACGAGACACATATTTCTGCCATGATGTGTCTCCATGGTCGAAAGCAACATGGCCAACAAAGCCTGTACAAAATGCTCGAAAACTGGACCCAAGCAAACCTTTTCTTTGTGTAATCTGTCTCAAATATTTTATTAATAATAACAAAAGATTGCCTAACAGCTCAAAGATGGAAAATATCAAGACTGACAAAAATGTATTTCATTAAACAATTAAATCTGTTGTCAATCAAATTAAACCTTTCTTACCTAAAATGCAATGTTTAAAAAAAAAAAAACCTCTTTTAAAATGCACGAAGATAAGTGTTTATATTACCTCGACTCGTGTAATTCATATCAAAGTAGACCTGCATCTTAATGGTGTCCAGGGATGGATTTTTACTGTCCAACAGTCGAGCCACACAAAGCTAGAAGAGAACATTGCATGAATGCTTCTACTATATTTTCCAAAACACTCAAGCGGTTTGTTTGCTTGGGTTTTGGATTTTGAGACAAAGACCATATACACCAGGCTGGTCTCAAACTCACTAAGTTGCCGAGGATGATCTTGAACTGATAATCCTCCTGCCCCCACTCCCTCCCCATTGCTCGGATTACCACGCCTGGTCTTATGCAGTGAATGCCTGGGTATCTAACACAGGGCTTTATGCATACCAGGCAAGCAGTCTATCAGCTGAGGTTTGCTCTTCTAAGTTATTTTCAAGAAGAAAAGAAAATGAGCAAAGCATTATGGTATACTCCTGCAATGCTAGCATCTCAAGAAACAGCAGCTGGAGGACCTACACAAGCTTCAGCCAGAACTACAAAAAAGAAGGCCAGAGAGGGGAGAGAGGAGAGAAACAATAAAGAGAAAAACATCACAGCAGTGGTCCTGATGATCAGGCGACCGTCAAGTTGGGAGCATAGGCCCCAGCCCCTCACATCTATCCCAGGCCTGGTCTGGACTCCAAATCCCAGCAGACCAAGTCCCCTGACCAGGGAGGGGTCAGGACCACTTCCCAGGGTATTTAAATAAGTTCCCAAAAGAGGAACACGTGATCCCTTTTCCTTTCTCCCGGCATTCGAGCGCAGGAACGGCTTCCCCATTCCCCCTCCAGGCCACTCTAGAGTGCAGAACTCCCATTAAACCTGGATATTTCTTAATTTTGGCTTGTTTTGATTTGGCATGATTGGGAATTTTGCGTCGACAGGGAGCTCGCGTTAGGAAATATTCCTAACAGCGACAACCACTTTTATTGTAATCTTTTTCTTCCTTGAGGACATCAGGGTTTATATTTTCCACGATCAACACAGTAAGTTCTTTACCAGGTCTAGCTGAAGGCAAGATGCCTGACATGTCGGTGAGTTTAAACTTGTGCTCTATTCTATAACTCTCCCAGAACTCCCGTATATTATTTGGGTCTGATTAACACCCTACTGATGGTGGAGGTCACGTTTTATAAAACTCTGCTTCAGTTACCCTCATCCCCTCACACCGTTTCTCGATTTCTACTCATTTCCAGATTTCTTCTGCTCCCCTCTCCCAGCACACACGTAAATGATGCATGCCTTCTCTAGACTTGGATGATCACCCATCCTCCTCCCTCTCACCTGGCCTTCCTGGACTCCTCCCATCCAGGCTCTGCCCTTCACACACCTGCTGCTGGAAGGCAGACAGCAGCATCCTTCTGAACCGTCCCCAGCCCCAGCAGCCCTGCTCTCCTAGGAGTGCGGAGGGAAAGGACAAGACTAAGCAGCCTGTCTGTGCACCTAGGTCCCTGGGTGGGGGAGTAACCTTACAGTAGACTACAAATCCAAAGGTGCCTTTATCCAGTGGCTTTTAATTGAGTAAAAACAGGCAACAATTACTGTTGTTAAGATTACCACGTACTGTGAGAAGTTGTGCTTGTACCACATTAAAAGGATACTGAACTTGAGGCTTAACAACTCAGCTGAATTAGGGAGGAAAAAAACCTAAAACTGCTTCCTGGACCAATCCTTGAGTCTCCTCTGTAACCTCCCACAGTTTCTGAATATCACAACCATTTCCCTATTGCTAAGAACAGCATTTATACCACACTTAAAGTTCACCAAGGCCAACTTTAGGCTGTCCTGTGGTCTCAGGGAGTTTCTGCAGCATCATTCTGATAAGACACCCTCCTCCCCAGTTCTAGGTTTCCAAGTCTTCCCCACCCCTACCACATCTGCAATAGACCTACTGTCTCTCCTTCAGGCTGTGAGAGAAGGTGGGGATTAGTGAAACATTCCCCTGCCATTTGTGCGAGTCAATAAAATCGCCACATACAGGTTTGGGGCAGCTCACACTTCCTTTGCGTGAAGAAAGGAAACAAATTCATTAAGGCTAGGACAGACAGCAACGTTGAACTTTTAGGAAATACAGAGGAAGCAACTAAATTGGAGTCTCCGACTTAAGACACTGGACATTACAGATATCTAAAGTCCTCCTCTCGGGTTCTAAAAACAGGTTTTCAAGCATATTTACTTGCTTAGTAAGGTAATTTTTGCTTTGACTTTAACATAATTACATGGAATCCATTATGCGGGTCTTAATTCAGAACTATTTAACTCCGCAGTACAGTTGTTGACAGTCCCAATGTTAGATAACGAGCAGGGTCTCACCAGAACACTGTGGCAGGCGATGCTAGCCCTGACACCTGGGCCCCACCTTACCTACTAACACGAAACCACAGGTTCGCGTTATGTGTCCTTAGGGCCACTTACAACCGCACTTGCCCAGTAAGTATAACCATAAGGTAATGGTTCAGAGAAACTCTGAGTTCTGGATGGAAAGTGACACCACCTCAGACTGGAGCAACTACTTTCCTTTTGTCTTTCTCCTCCCATCAGGAGGTACGACAATGACTCTGTGACATGGGGGAAAGCCAAGAATGAGGACCAAGGAAGCCAGGAACAACCTAGGCACCTCCAGACTTTATTCTTCTAGAAAATGACCCCTCGTTTATTTATAAAGGAACACCACTTTGTATTCCTTTGTAACACTGCTGAAGACAATGATGGATAACACAAATACTGTATTTAAAATTGTATTTAAAACCTCAAACAAGAGGAGTGTCAATCACCTTAACAAGTTTCTGCACGTCGCTTTTGATGAGGGTTCTATCCATGTTAAAGCCATTGCTTGGATCCAGGACAACAGCTTTCACCTAGAAACAGAGCACGTTAAGTCGTTTGTTTTTGTATTTGTCTGTTTGTTTATTATGTACAGTGTCTGCCTGCAGGCCAGAAGAGGGCGTCAGACCTCATTTCAAATGGTTGTGAGCCACCATGTGGTTGCTGGGAATTGAACCCAGGACCGCTGGAAGAACAGCCAGTGTTCTTAACCACTGATCCATCTCTCCAGCCCTGCATGCTAAGTAATTTTATTTCATGTTATGAAATTAATTCATTCCCATTTTTAGCCAACTGCCTTGATGCTCAGCTAGGTTTCTTCTCACCCCACTCACTAGCAGGGTCATCAAAGTCTGGAGACGGAAATAAACGTCAAACTTGAATAAGGGCTAGAAGAGTTCACGCAAAGAGGCTGAAAGCAATGGTTACAGCTTTAGAGCAGGAAGCTATGGTATACCTCGCCTTCACTGTGTGTTGTTACCCAAGCCAAGAACACAGAAATTAAAGCAAGGAGTCACTTTTTCAGTATATATCTGAACAAAAATAGACATTAAAACGTCACAGCAGAACATGATCGAGGTCTCCAAGTGTCACAGGATCTCCCAAGTCAGCCACTGTAAATCTACCATGCTTTACAGACTCGGAAAAGATGTTTTTCACTAACTCACCTGATGATCACAATATGTCTCCAACTAAAAAGCATCTAGGAATGCTCCCAACACTTGGTACCACATTTTAAAAATTTTGCTAAGACGGTAATTTGCAAAATTAATCTTTCTTACCATGAAAGCAACCACTGTTTCAGATGCAATCTCTCCGTGGGCTGCACATTCTTGTCCTATTTCTCGTATAATATTCTTTATAACACTTTCTGCTTGAGTGGGAGGCATTGTGGCTAAATAAAGCAATAATTTTTTTTAGTAATTTCACTAATATATTTTCTTCTTTAGATTCCGTTATTAGATCTGGAATAACCATAATGTCTACTGCATTATTGACATTTAATTGTGATCTAGTTTCCTCCTTTTTCTCTCTTAAATGGCTTTATTAATGACAGAGCATAACTGGGATTTCCCCCTTCTTTAAATGGTGCCACCATCAAAAATATATATTGTGACATTTTAAAAAAAATTAGCCAGGTATGATGGAGCATGCTTTTAATCCCAGTACACGGGAGGCAGATGAAGACAGATCTCTATGAGTTTAAGTGTAGCCTAGTCTACATAGTGAGCCAGGGCTACATAGTGAGACCCTGCCTCAAAAACAAAATACAACACAGAAAAAAAATAAATAAATCTCAACCGAATGTGTGGGAGAAAAAAAAAAAAGAAAAAGAAAAACTTATCCCCCTATCTGCATAGGCAGCAAGAATACAGCTTGTAGAAGAAAAGGCTTAACCACACATTCTCTGGAGGGCTTTTCACAACTCTAGCCTAATCTTATAACAGTAGGAAGATTTCCTCGGATTATTCCATCCTTGGGATATGAACGCTAACAAAAACATAAAAAGCAATCAATGAAAATGTGAGGATTATGAATATCGAAAAAAGAACTGGCTATAATTTCATCCATTATAAACTAGGAAAGAGTGGGATTTTCTTTCCCGTGTCAGTTAACACAGATAACGTAAGAGAAAACAATGGCAGGGGCGCTCTGAAGGTTGGTTAAAGTAGCCTTGGGCATTTTGTACGGGGAAACCAGACAGCCTGCTGTGCATCACGGTCCAACCACATCTCTTTGGGAGTCAGTTTACTCAACCGAGAAGGATGGGTGCTGGAGTCACCTTCTCCTGAACTTATGAGTACACTGTGGTACCCAAGCGTCGCGCCAGAGAGCGTCTCTGTGGGTGTGTCTAAGACCTGCAGATCCCGCGCGCTTGCGCAGAGCTGGAGCCCGCCACCCAGCCCTGTCAGTTACCGACCACCGGCACCAGCTTCGCAGCGGTCGGACGTCTGTCTCCTCTCCGGGTACACCCGCCTTTAAGGGCCCGGAGTTCTCAGGGCGCCGGCCTCGGCCCGAACGCCAGCCGGCCGCGGCTCTCCCGGCCAGCCCCAGAGCCCAAGCAGCGGAGGCGTAACCACGGAAACCGAACGCGACGCCCGAAACTGGGGGGCGGGGCCGGGCCCCGGAGGTGGGGCTAGAGGGCGGGGCGGGCGGAAACCAGGATGGGCTGCTGGGGCGGGGCCGCTGGGGTGGAGCCTTGAGCAGAAGGGTGTTGGGTTCCCTCTCAGTCCCCCAAGAGATACGCAAAAGAGCTCAATTCCAGGTGAGAAAGGTGTTTTCGCTACACCTCAGTATTAAAGCAATGAAACACGAGTTCTGAAACAAATGTTGGCCGTACAACCAGTCATACTGTTCGTGATAACTTACTAGCGTGGAGACATGGGGGAGGGGGAGGAGGGAAGGAACGCATCCATTGAAGAGAATGAGAAAAGTTAGGGTTCTTGGAGTTATCAACGTTTTTAGTGTTTTTCAAAGAAATACTTTCATTTCTCTTGCTCAAAGGAAGTCAGTATACTGGTATTCCAAAATGCCTGGATGAAAGTTTTATTTATTATGTATTTACTATTATTTTTTATTTAATTCGGGAAATGCATTCAAACTAGATCTGAAGATGCAGGCCCCTAGTCCCAGGCTTTGGGGTGCTCAGATAGGAAAACGCAGTTTTAAGACACCCTACACTGTATAGTGAGACTCTGCCCCCACCACCCAGAAGATGCAAGTTAGGAAACCACTGTGTTTGGAGTTGGGGAAAAACATTTTTTGTTTGTTTGTTTGTGGGAGAGGCTAGCACTATGTAGTCTTGGATGGTCTGGAACAGGACATGTAGACCAGGCTGGTCTTGAATTAGTAAAGACCTACCTGCCTCAGTCCCCCAAGCCCAGGTCGTGTGCCACCATGCTGGGTCAATGATGGTCCTTTTGATTTTTAAAAATATTTGTTGCAGGGTTGGAAATAGTCTCTAAGGTTATGAACATTGGCTATATTTCCAGAGGACTGGGCTTGATTCCCAGCACCCACAAGACAGCTCATAACCATCTGTAACTCCAGTTCCAGGGGAGCCAACTCTCTCTTCTGGCCTCTGCACATACCAGCTAGGTGGGAATCTACAGACATACACCCTGGCACAACACCCATGCACATAAAATAAAATAATAAAATAAAAATACCTTTTAAAGTTTTCAGTGTTTCTTGGGTAAACATAAGGAACAATATTTTATTTTTTGTTATATCTAGTTATTTATGAGGCACACATGTCACAACACACTTGTGAGAGTCACAGCCTGCAGGAGCCAGCTCTCTCCTACCACGTTTGTTCTTGGATCTGTTGACCCACAGAGACATCCCAACAAACTGTCCTAGTTACTTTGTTGCCCGGATGCACACCATGGCCAAAAGTAACCTGAGGAAGAGCAAGTTTAGCTTTCACTTCCAGTGGAGGGAAGTGAAGGCAGGAACCTGGAGCAGGAGCCAGGGAGGAACACTGCTCACTGGTTTCCTTGCTAGCTCATGCTTAGCTAGCTTTCTTTTTTAAAAAGTTATTTTAATTTTTCTTTATGCATTTAATTAATGTGTATGCACGTGTTGGGTAGGGGTTCCCATGAAGGCCAGAAGACACCATCAGATCCCTTAGAAATGGAGTTACAGGTACTTATTTGATGCTCTGAACTGAACTGTTATCTTCATGGTTGAGCATCAAGTGCTCTTAACAGCTGAGCATTCTCTCCAGTCGCATAGCTAGCTTTCTTATACAGCCCAAACCCACCTGCATAGGGATGGTGCCACCCACAATGGGCTCCACCCTTCCACATCAATCCCACCACAAGCAAGCATCTACTGCTGTTGTGAAAATGCTCAGGTAGCACTTGGCACAGTGTCTGCAGTAAAATATGGACTTGGGTGCCATTACCATCACTGTTATGACTGAGTGGACTTCTAGTCCTCATGGAACTAACTTTTCCTAGTTATAAGAAGGAATCAATTTAGAAAGGGACTAGACTATATTAAGGGACCAGTAAAAAGAATCATGTCTATTTAGTATACATCTTGAGAAAATGAAGGCAATAAAACTATTCTTTTCGTTAGCAAAGAGCCCGGACTTTGTTTCAGAAGACCAGGTTAGAAATCTACATAAAGTGATGGATTTAACTTAAAAGATAATAAGTAGGACTGACAAATTTGGAATAGATGCTATTCTGTTGGAATGTTATATCCCCAGCCAAAGGAGCGAGTAAGATGGGTGTGGCAGAGTATTCCAGAAACAAGCCAGAGAAAGCTAGAGAGGCCAGTGATGCTTGACAATGTTTGGGTTACATCGCAAAGTAGAATGCGGAACTTCACAAGGAAGGGGACTGAGTCAGTCCCCTTAGAGAGAGTGGTTTAGTGTGGGGAGCTCTCCACATTCAGTGAGACAGAATGCCAGCAGCAGACCATGGGAACCAGCGATGCTTAGAAAACTGGCACCACGCTTTCAGTAACTGACTCTTTAAAGAGCAGATAAAGAGGAGGTACCCGGTATAGCAACAGCACTGCAGAAGGAAACAGTGGGAAAACCTTCTGTTCTTGGTGCTGTAAGCTCAAGGTTCTACGCTTGACAGAGCAGCTGCAAGATCCTGTTTCATAAAGACCCCTCTTGGGACTGGAGAGATAGCTCAGCAGATAGGAGAATTCCATGCTCAAGCACAAGGACCTGAGTCTGGATCCTGGCACCCACATAAGCCAATGGGGTTCCCAGGTGTGTTTAAAAACTTACATTTAGGGCTGGAGGCTGGAGAGATGGCTCAGCGGTTAGGAGCACTGCCTGCTCTTCCAAAGGTCCTGAGTTCAATTCCCAGCAACCACAGGGTGGCTCACAACCATCTGTAATGAGGTCTGGTGCCCTCTTCTGGCCTGCAGGCATACCCGCAGACAGAATATTGTTTGCATAATAAATAAATATTAAAAAAAGAAAAAGAAAAAAAAACCTTACATTTAAAAAACATTAGCTTTTAGTGAATAGGGTTTTAGAAAAGTCCTATAGGTTCAGGTCTTCTTTCCCTTTTAGTGATTGTTGGCATCAGTGGTCCAGAGCCTCACAGGGCATGCGTCAGGCAGAGGACTTTGGGATCCCTAACTTGTATAGATACTTTTCTTGCAGGGCCCAGAATTTAAAATTTGTCTTAATATATTTGATGAAAATTTGAAATAATTTTGTTAACCAGACAGTAATCTCTCTGCTGTAGGTTACACTCCACGAGGCAAACAATCCAAGAACATGCTCCTGCGCTGATTTCCAACTGCACAAACGTGCGTGTGCTCACACATCAGGTGGAGAAAAGAATCAAGCCAGCTACAGAAGTGGGTTTTCACTTCGTAATTAGTGTGTCCTCTCTATGTAGGTAGAGGTGGTACTCACACCTTGGCATATGCTTTTTTTTTTTTTTTTTTTTTTTTTGGTTTTTCGAGACAGGGTTTCTCTGTGGCTTTGGAGCCTGTCCTGGAACTAGCTCTGTAGACCAGGCTGGTCTCGAACTCACAGAGATCCGCATGCCTCTGCCTCCCAAGTGCTGGGATTAAAGGTGTGCACCACCATCGCCCGGCCTGGCATATGCTTTTGAATATTGTGGTTTTCCAAGAAAATGTTTACAGCACAGAGAAGCAGAGGGAGCGGAGAGAGCAAAGACCTGCCAGACCTGAGCATGTTTGAAAATGCCATATGAAATGCATTACTTTGAAAATGGCAAAAAAGGGGACAAAAGAAAAAAAAAACAGAAATCTATCATTTGAATGACAACTTGAAATGTCAATTAAAAATTCTTACAGCCCAATAGTACACTGAACAGATATCAACCAATGGTATTGAGTGTATTTATTCAGCTGTAGGAAGCTGTCTCCATGGAGACATTTCAGCTGATGTCTACTCAGCTTTCTTTTCTTTGTCCTTAGTAGGACAGGAAGGAGTTTTCTTTCTTTCCGGCAGGATAAAGTCGGCATGTCCTGGGGAGAGCTTGGGGAAGGTGGAATTGATGTACTTCTGAAATGCTGCCCTGGTTTCCTGTAATTCCTCCTCCAGGAAATCTTTCCAGTTTGTCATGATTCCCAGCTGCTTTGCCACAGATATCAGCTCCCCCTGGGTGTTGGCCAGTTTACCCATCACGTGGTCCAGCGTGGCCTGGTGGGTTTTTTCCGCTTCTTGGAGCACTTCCTGCACCTCTTCTTGCTTCTGCCTCTGAGCCAGGCCATAGTAGGCGTTCATTTCCTGCTCCTTTGCTCTTATCAGCTGGCCCAAGCTTGTCTTCTGATCTTTAGGGGCTGTCACGCCAGTATTCACAAGTTCCTCCCTGGTCTTGCTGCAAAAGACGACACAGATTTACCAATCAGATAGACTAGCCACTAAAAACATAATGAGTTGATCGTTAATCACGGAAGAGTCCCCAACCTGGGAAACCTGGGGTGCATGAGCTTTCAGAATATATTAGCTATCAATCATCAATCTAAAAATTGTGCTCAGAGGCTGCCCATCAATTTCTCAGCCAAAGGCTGGGGCACAGCCACTAGTTTAATGTCCAATGGTGGCGCTGAACTTAAAACAATGAAGAGACAGAGACAGAGCCCTAAACCCCCATAGAAGGTATTTCCTCATATCAGCTCATCTCCTTTTTGTTGTTTTATGTCTTTGAAATAGTATCATGAGGGTTTGATTTTCGTTGCTTTGAGTAAACTTTGAATCAACTGCATCATTCAGGCTGACCTTCAACTCTTTATTTTTGGGATTACAATGTAATAACATCACGTTTCCCCTTCTCTTTTCTCTCTTTGAGCCCACTTCTTGTTCTCTTTCTCTTTTTTTATGTCCAAATTATGTCCTCTTTTCATTGATGGCTGTTACATCATATATGAATTTATATATGTGCACATGTAATCCTAAATATAACCTGATCAATGTGGTTCATGTTAACATATATGCACGTTTCAGTTGACCATTGGGTGGTGGACAACCAATTGGTGTGCTCTTCCCTGGGGAAGCCTATATCTCCCACTCTCAGTGTCCGTCTCATGCCTGCAGATCTTTGTATAGAACGGAGGCCCCACGGGCCCCCCATCCCCCCCCCCGCCCCCGTCCACTTTGATATGCCTATCAGTGCTGCCCTTGTTTGGCTCAAGCTTAGGCAGCCATGTTGGGAAGCCTTTATGGGTGCAGTTGCTGGTACAACTAGAGACAATCTCACAGCAAACTCCTGGATCCTAACCTCGAACTCTTGATCCCCCTCCTGCGTGCTGGGTGCTGAGGCTACAGGCCTAAGCCACTGAACCGTCGCTGTTCATCTTGAGGATGGACGGAAGCAAGCTTGTACTTGTGCGTTAGCTTTAGGTTTAATCGTGATTTAAACTGAGCTATATTTAATTATAGATTATCTCTAACTTTCTGATCACAGGGCCAAATTCCTTTTACACTTAAAGTTACTGAGGAACCCAAAAATAAATAGTTTATATGAGTTTTATCTAGCGACATTAACAGAATTAGGGGCTAAAAAGAACAGACATTTTAAAAGACATCAATTAATGCATAATAACAATAAATTAATTCTACTTTAATGCAAATATTTTTATGAAAAATATTTTCCAAAATAAAATATAATAGTTGGTGAAGAGACTGGCATAATTTCACAGTCATTTGCAAAGTTCTTTTACGTACGGCTTAAAACAAAGCTGGTTTTTCATGTTATTTGAATATATTGAGATCTCCTCCTATTAAAACTCCTGAAAAATAAAACACTCATTAGAAGAGAAAGAGAGGGCTGGAGAGATGGCTCAGTGGTTAAGAGCATTGCCTGCTCTTCCAAAGGTCCTGAGTTCAATTCCCAGCAACCACATGGTGGCTCACAACCATCTGTAATGAGGTCTGGCGCCCTCTTCTGGCCTGCAGGCATATACACAGACAGAATATTGTATACATAATAAATAAATAAATATTTTTTAAAAACGAAGAGAAAGAGAGAGAAAAAGGAAATGACATCATCTTTTTGTAAAAAAAAAAAATGAATTTGACCTCGTGGATATGTTCCTTCCCTGTCAAAAAGTCAGGGACCCTGAGGGCTCTTGGGCCATGCAGCTGAATGATTCTGACCTCTGGTTGCTTATATCACTCTATCTGTATATACATATTATATATGCCTAAAATATAATTATATCGCAAATATATATAGGTGAGATAATACAGATATGTAGATAGACAGACTATAAATAAATGTTATAGTAGCCAGCCCTATTGAACTGTTAAGTAAGCTGCCAGGCTTTTGTGTATATGTTCATCAGTAGCTCGGGAAATTCAGTTAAGCCATGCCCTGATTAGGCCCCATTCACGATGAGAACCCTGGCTCAGAGCAGTGAGGTAATTTGTCAGGTTCACCCATAAATGCTGGTGGGCAAAATCAGCGCCATGACCCAGGCAGTCTGAGCCCAGGGCAGTGTGATGCAGATGCACTGCATGGACTTCTAGAATTACCTTGTTTGGCTAAGATGTCTAAAGAATAAAATACCTAAGATGTTGGGGTAAAGTATTTACGGTTTGTAATGAAAATGCTCCCCCTCTAGTTCCTTCTTGGTGCCTCCAACACAAATGAAGTCTTTTTGAGGCTTACCTCATTCTGTGGTTGAAATTCTCTTACTTTTTCTAGTTCCAGACTGACCTTAAACCTGAGACTTCCCTAATCTTGATGTAATGACATTCATCTCCAGTTACCAGGCAACTCGGCCTCCTCTTCCCACAGCTGGGTTATATCCACTATTACCAGCAAGGGTTAGTGCTATGAGCGCTTTACATGCCGGCTCATTGAATTGTAGAAGGACCCACTGAGGCTGTTACTATTTTTACTTACACTGTTATTATTCCCTTGTGATAGGTAAGAATGTGAGGCTCTCCAAGAGCCGCGAGAACTGTTGTTCAACGTCACACACGTAATTGAGGAAGCAGGAGCGTGGCTTCTCTTAGCCACTACTTGCTTCAGTCTCATAAGAAGTCACCATAAAATGTTTCGTCGGTAGGACGACACAATGAAAACAGTATTTAAGAACAGTATTCTGGTAACAAACAGTAAGAAGGCTAAACCTTAGTGCAGTAAGACAGCGAGACCACCTTGTATCATTCTGCAACCGTCTGGGGTACAAGGAGGGTCTGAACCAGTGATGAAAGACAGAGATAGGCATCGAGACAAACAGGAACAAGTCCAGGAAACCACAAAGCCCTAACCACCAGCATCTAGGTCTGCTGGGATAGATGAACAGCCAAGAGGATGCTGGAGAGCTGTGAATTCATACTCACGCACGTCCTCTGGATTTAGCCTGGTGCTTTATAAAACCAATGGGTTGTTAGTTAGGCTGGAACCAAGGCCTCTAGGGCCCAGGACAGCAACAGCTGAATGACCCTAACCAGCATCCCCAAAGAGGAAGGTCCCCAGCACCAACCTTAGGTAAACTGAGCTAATAAAGTCCATTCTGGGTATCTAGCTTCTTTAATCTCAGCACTCAGGAGACAGAGGCAGGGGGATCTCTGTGAGTTCAGCCTTGGAAAAATGGGAAGTGGGGAATATTCATGCTTAAAACAGACTTGGGTTTTCTTGAGACAGGCTTTCTCTGTGTAATAGTCTTAGCTGTCTTGAAACTAACTCTGTAGTCAAGGCTGAACTTGAACTCACAGAGATCTGCCTGCCTCTTGTGCCTCCTGAGTGCTGGGATTAAAGGCAAGTGCCACCACTGCCTGGCTTTTAAAACAGATTATTAAGGTAAGCTAAATATTTGCTGTAGAAGAAGAATCAATTTTATGGATCATATGAAATGGTCAAGAAAACCCAAAGAATCAGGTAACTTGGGCTTACAGGGGCTCACAGAGTCTGAACTTCCAACCAGAGAGCTTGCGTGGGGCTGACCTAGGCCCTCCACACATATTACAGTTGTGTTGCTTGGTCTTCTTTTGGGGTTCCTAACAGTGTTACTTGCTTTCGGGGTCCCTTTCCTCCTACTGGATTGCGCCACCCAGCCTTAATAGGAGGGGAGGTGCCTAGTCTTACGGCAACCTGACAGGCCATGGCTGGCTGATGTACATGGGGGACTGCCTTTCCTGAAGAAAAAGGAGGAGTGGAAGAAGGGGGGTTGGGGGAGGGGCTGGAAGGAGAGGAAGAAGATGTGGAATGGGCCGGGGTGGGAAAAATTATTAACTAATAAAAAAAGTTATTTTGTTTATCTGTCTTGTCTGCTGTTGAAGAAGGATGAGGAAGTACTGAAGGAAGGGCCATATCAGTGCTCGTGTTCTTTCCTTCCCTTCTCCAAACTTAGTCTGGCTTTGACTTGGTCTCTCCTTAAATATTTAGGGGATCACTGCAGACAGCTTGGAGGAAACGGTGAGTCCCCGCAGTTTTGGATCCACACGAGAAGCAAGACACGTGGCAATGCCCTACATGGTATCCATAGTCAAACAGCAACGGCACTGTCACCAGCGGCTGCCAAGCTTCCAGTGGAAGGGACGGCAGGGCCAGCTGGGAAACTTGCATTGCACACCCTGGTTAGCATCTGTGCACTTCCTGTAAGCAGAGAGTACATCCTGGTGTGGCATCTGTGCACTCCCTGTAAGCTGTGCACATCCCGGTGTGGCATCTGTGCACTCTCTGTAAGCAATGTGCATCTGTGCACTCTCGGTAGGCCATCTCTATTTTGACAAGGCTAGAGACTTGGAGGTTTGAAATTCACGCTCTACTTAAACAAATGCTGGCACAAAGTGTAACCATTTTTTAAACATAGTTGCAGGGTGTGTCCACACTTACAAGAATTAGGCTGATATTTCATAAAATGGATTAGTAGAGAATAAAAGGGTATTAGACAAAATACGCTCTGCTACCTCAGCCTCACTGTGCCAGTGAGGAAACACGGAAAATCTGTACTAGAAATCTCTCCATTCGGTGTCTTCTGAAACACTTCCAGCCTATTTTTGGATGGTTGTTGCTGTTAAAGTGGCACAGGATGTGCTGTTCATGGGCTTAAAGAAAAACACCAGGGGGCTGGAGAGATGGCTCAGAGGTTAAGAGCACTGGCTGCTCTTCCAGAAGTCCTGAGTTCAATTCCCAGCAACCACATGGTGGCTCACAACCATCTGTAATGGGGTCTGGTGCCCTCTTCTGGTGTGCAGGCATACATGTAGGCAGAATGCTGTTTACATAATAAATAAATAAATTAAAAAAAAAAAAAAACACCAGTGGCTGCTCCTTCCACATTCTCTTCCATGTAAGTGAGGTTTTTCACTTGTCTAATGCAGACGGCCACCAACACACTTTCATGCCCCATCTATACCCATTAATAAAAATCCTCATTTTTATATTTGATTGTAATTTGGTTACATTTCCCCGTAGCCAAGGACTAAATGGTAATGACATTTGTTCCTCAAAATCATTTGTACGTAAGGCAGATCAGAGAAGATGATTTGCTCGGCTGAACAATAAGAAGGTGTCAATCCACTTTTCATTTGAACTTCTGAAACGCTAGCCTAATTTCAGCCGGCACGACCACTGTGTTTAATATGAAAATGCATTATGGTTTTCTGATTGGGACACTAGAAACTTCCCTGATTTGACAGTGGTCCCCTGGAGTTGGGGGTGGAGGCATTAACAAGGGTGTAGAGGAAAGAGCCAGAACCGTCCTTCTGCAGCACACTTGCAACTTGGGGTTCAGTAGGACTCTTCCATTAGCCGTGTCTCATTGTACAAGAAACTTACACGTCTTTGCGCATCCTGTTTTCATTCTTATGTCTCTCTCAGAAATCAGATCCCTCTCCTTCTAAAGACCAACACACCTTCCTCCAGAAGCCTCCAGTAATACATGACCTACCCTCACTTTACTTGATCACTTTAGGAATTTAACTCTTTCAATCCCTGTGTGCTGTTTGTACCAGTTCTGTACTCAGAGACTCACACTTCAGTTACTTCATTTAATATTGAGAAAGGGTCTGAATTTCGTTCTCCCAGAACTTCAGTTTCTAATTCATTTCATCCAGAAGACACTTGATAAGTTTGGGTGAAGTGGAAAAACTCGCTCGGTAACTCAAATGACTTCCTGTCGAGCCGGTCAGTATAATGGAAAATTGCAAATCTAACACAGGCCAGGGTTTGGTTCAGTCCCCACCACTTCCTCCTCTTCTGATCTTTCATAGCTGGTTCAGTGTCTCTCTGGGACTCAGGACTCAGCCGGAAGGCATGCGAGAGGACAGACTCTGCCCAGTGGTTACTAGCCAATTCACTTCCACTTCCGAGATAACCTTCACTCCTGTCTGCTTGGCTAGATCTTACTGTGAACCACAGCCTGGTATCAACTCCTGTTCATCCTGCCTCAATTCTGAGTGCTGGGTTATAGGCACCTCCCACTAAGCCTGGCTGCCCCCAGAAAGAGATTTGAGAAATATATAAAGGATCCATGTGCATTAATTATTGAATCAAGAGAGTTGTCATAAAATTATAGCCATTAGAGACAGGTAAAAATGTGTTCTACACCTTAGTGACGAGGAAAATGCAGATCAAAACCACTTTAAGATTCCACCTCTGCTCAGTCAGAATAGCCAGCATCAGAAGTCTAAACATCAAATGCTAGAGTAGATGTCGGGGAGAGAGCCCTTGCATGCTGTTGGTAGGGGTGTAAACTAGTACAGCCTCTATGGACATCAGTCTGGAGTCATTTCTGGGCATGTACCTGGAGGAATTTATACTGCACGACAGAGACACATGAGCATCTATGGTCATGGCTAGATAGCTGTTTACAATAGCTAGGAAATGGAATCAAAGCAAATGTCCATCAGCTGATGAAGAGATAAAACGTGGTGTATATGAGATATATAAACAGTGAAATTATTACTTGGCTGTGAAGAAGCTAGGAAACATGAAGGGCCTCTAGTCCACTTCCTGGCAGCACCTCTTGTTCTGCTCTGAACCTCTGAGGAGCGCAGGTGCTCGGCATGCATTCTAGAAGCTCCAGCCCACATCTGAGGTGAGTCTACCAGCTTCAGCTAGCCCAGCCTACAAACCCTCTCAGACATTCCCAGAGCTTTACATACAAGGTGTCTCTAGATTCTAAGTTATCAGGATAAGCCACCATAGTATCCGAATAAATTCCCTAGCAGAATTTCATTATCTCTCCACAAATTAGTTTCTGCAAGTGTCTAAAGAAGCCTGGCATTTAGTGATGCTGAGATAAGATCTGGTACCCTGCAGAATTTAACTGATCAGAATAGATTTGTAGCATTTGTTCAGCGGTTTACAAGGGCTGGCAATGTGGCTCAATTCCAGAGCACCTACCAACTGTGCAAAAAGCTCTCCGTTCAATACCTACCACCCAAGAAAATGATAAATAAAAACAAAACAGAATGGGTTGATCGTGTTCCATAGAACAGCCCTGTGTCTGTGTAAGGCACCCTGCAAGACTGATGGGCTGATTAAAACTTTACTGACATGGGAAATCGGATGTTACAGGTCCAGAGCCATGTTACCCCATGCTGTGTTTAACGTCCCCAATAGTCACTATTGCATACTTCTGTGTTTGACCCAGCATCCCTACAGACTATCAGGTAAGTGCTTTTTGTAATGTGCAAAAGGAGCCCCTAACTTCCACCAACCCAACTGAAAGACTAATAATGTTGTCAGGTCACACCTGAGGCCTATAACAGAGACTTCTTTCTCTGTGACACGCCTACCCGCCCACCTGATGTTTTCACCAATGTATTTTAATGTGCTCTGATTTGTAGCTCTTTGTTCTGTTAGTATAAAAACGACTGAGATGGCTCAGTCGATAAAGTGCTTGCCTTGCAAGCATGAGAACACAAGTTAAAAAAAAAAAGGAATAAAAAGAAAGAAACTAACGTGGTGATACATGCTTGTATTGAGCCAGCCAGACTAGTCTACTTGGCAAATTCTATCCAAGTAAGAGATCTATCTCTAGAAAAAAAAAGGGGGGGGGGTTAGATTGTGCCTGGGAACACCTGAATTTCCCCTCTGACCTCTATATGCAAGCACACAATGTAAACATGCTCACATAAATACAAACATACATGTGAATGCACACACAAACACATGCATGAACCTGCTACCATAGTATCTGAGATAGCTTGAACTTCTTTCTAGGTCCAAGTAACTCATATTTTGCTCTTAAATAAACTTTTTCCTATTCCCTCAGAGATAAAAACAGTGTTTTAATGTTAACAAGTGCTAACAGGCACCAGGCTCTCTTCAAGGCCTTTGGGAACCATGAGTGAGCAAACCAGACATTTCAGTTGGATATATTTAAATAATAGTCATGACAGTTCTCTATCTTAGTCCATAAAAGATGAAAATTGAAAAAGAAAAATTTACACTCGAGACTCCCAGAGGAAAAGCTGAAGGGGGAAAACAACAAACAAGAGAGGGTCCAGGAGGCTTCTGGTGTGGGTGAGAAGTGAACCACGAGACCCTGAAAGAGGAGCCAGAGCTCCTCAGACCAAGAAGTGGGGGAAGGGAGCAAGGGCCCAACAGCCACTGTACTAGACACAACTCATTCTCTAAGCAAATGCTCTCTCTTCACAGAGATATACTCTAGGCAGAAGAGAGGGAAACCTGAATGCCACAGCTCTCTAGCCTTCTTTCTGGCCACTGGAATGACAAGTTTTAACTCTAGGAGAGATTTGTCTTCAAGATCTTAACTCTCAGTTATACACAGGTAGACATGCTTAAGTCAAGCGGCAAAACCCAAAAAAGACAAACCCAGACTCAGAGGCCAAACAGGAAGACTCCATCTTTGTTCTGCTGCTAAAGTTTAGGGGATCTTGGGCAGGCCACTCAACATCTAGAAACATGGGTTTATCATATACCCAGAAATTCCTGGACTGCTGACTGGGTTAGCTCAGTTCATTTTCTCTCTTAAGCTCTCTCTGTCCCTCTTCTCCATGTTCTTCCCTCTCCCCCTCTGCTTCGCAGTGCACACTTATGTATAACATGATCTGTAAAAGGAGGTGTGGTTATGAACATAAATATATAAGGCTGAGAATATATCCAAGGATGTGGAAAGATGTGAGCCTTGTTACATGAAATGTTTGTTCTGGGGAGACAAAGTAGATGTGGGAGGCAGTAAACTGGGCCTTGAGTGTCTTCTTTCGTGCATTTCTGTGAAGTCAATGTTTTTCTGTATACCCCTATTCGTTCATAAGGAGCAGACCAAGAACTAACACGTCTCCCAAAGCGTGTGAACCAGGCTGGAAACAATGACTCCTAAGTGTTTATGGAGAAGTGTTTATTAATTCTTCTGAGCCTTTTAATGCTGGAGAAACAAAATAAGAAACAGAATGTTGAGAAGGGGGATGGAGATATGACTGAGAATACAACATGGACCTTCAGAAGTGTTGGTAAATTTCAATCCCTTATATATATGTTAGATACTTGAGTACTTACGCTTACGCTACCAGTTTTCTTAAATATCTCTCTCTCTTTCTCTCTGTCCCCTTCCCTCCTTCCCTTCTTCCCTCTTTTTCCCTCTCCCTTCTACTCTCATTCCTACCAATATTTGATATATCTCCCAATAAAACCAGGAAAAGCTGGGCAGTGTTCACTCATACATTTTTTTTTTTTTTTTTTGCATATCACTCATACATCTTAACCTTATTTCTTTCTCCAGGTAGATTTTCACTGAGTCGAGCGCTCGTGTTCTTGGTCGTACCTTTTCTGCTCCTGGACAGCTTTCTGGGCAATCTCTCTTTCTTCTTCCCTGGCTTTCTTCACTGCCTCTAACTTCTCTCTGTGGCACTCCATCATAATCCTCTGGATCCTATGGACCATGCGTTGTTCTGCGGCTGAGTGCTCTCTCTTCAGCTCCTCATCCATGTTTTGAATCATCTCCTTCTTGGTTTTTGCTTCTACAGCCTTAAAGAAAAGGAATGGAAAATTTGACATAGATATTACAGGGTCGATGACTTAAAATGAATACTGGAGGCTAGACCCATTGAAGTTTCGTTTATCTGATATAACAGAACCCGTTAAACAGGTGATTTAAAAGTAGCTGTGAAGTCTATGGAAATTTTTCATTTACATAAAATGTTCAAACTGTATGTACTCACATATGTTTATGAAAGATCACATTGAAAGGCTGTCTGCAAAATGCAAACAGGTTAGAGGGGTGTGGTTAAAGGTTTTCAGACACTTTTCTTTTTCAGTGCTGGCCACACCTGGGGCGTCACAGATGCTAGGCTGTCACTGGGCTCCAGCCCCAGCTATGTGATTTTATTGATTGTCACAGTCTCATGACACATGGAAATATGAGATGTGATATTGGAAAATGGCATAAATAAACACCATGACGGGAGCCCGAGGCTCAGGCAGGAAACAGGCACATCACACGGTCACAGGAGCCTGCCTTCCAGTCCCCTCTGCCGGCTCCCTTCACTCTAGGGTTGCTACCCTTGCTCCTTCATGGAGGCCACAGGCACTCCATTGTTCTAGGGTAGGGGCACCTGTGGAGTATTTTCGACCAACTAGAGAAAGATCAATAGTCAAAGCGTTACTTGTGGAGAAGTCTCACAAAAGGACCTGACAGGAAAACCTTTCAGCATTTTGGAAATGCCTACTAACTCCATGGGGTGCCGGCACTCTGCTGGGGCCAAGCAGGGATTACCCTATGGCGAGGCAGGAAGTATGGAGCAGAGCTCCCTTTCCTATTGGTCATCTGAGTACAAGGACAGTCCGTTGGACCTTATTTGGTACACAACTAGTATAAGCTAAGTGCTCCTTGGAGAAGCAATGGATGCGTGGCCATCTCCTCGGCCGCTCATCCATCATATCATTAGGCTCCCTGTCACTCTCCTGCAGCCTCTGCCCACGTATCGCACACACGTGGTCCTCCTCCGTCTCCTCCTTGGCAAACGTGAAGGAAGTTCTGTATTCTGGTCCTTTGAACAGGTTTTGGGACAGAGATATAGAACGAAGCAGTGAATCCCTCTGCTGGGAACACTGATGAGCTTGCAAGCTAGGAAGCTCCTCTTAGCCAGCCTCACTATCTAACCACAGAAGAACAGATGAGGAAAATGTGGTACGCATACACAGTGGAGTTGGTTGTTGGCTTTTTTCCTTCAGGAAAATGGATGCAACTAAAGGTAATTATGAATTAAGCCAGTCTCAGAAAGAAATCTCGTGCTTCTTCTCATATGTGGTTCCTAGATTTTATGTTTATACGTAAAATCATGTATGGATATATGATATAAAAGTAGAAGTAAAACTGCCCAGAGAAATAAAAGCAACTGTTAGGCAGAGTGAAAATGGGCAAGGAAGGTCTGAGGTGACAGTCCCAACATACAATATATACTTGGAAGTATACATATGATATATATATATATATTTCATTATGTTGTACATTGTCATGTACAATGAATACACATCACAGTGAAAATTTAAAACAACAAAAAAGAGGTCCTCTTGTGACCATTGGTCTACTAGGATTACTTCAGGGACAGAAAATATGTCTCTCTTGGCAGTTCAGAAAAAGCAAATTTAGGGGAAAAGATGTAAGCAGGAAGCCCAGAAGAAGGGAAGCGACAGCTTGCTGCGTCCCAGCACAGGACTGGACACCAGGGCTTGTATAACGACAAGACAGACTGTCCATATGTAGGTTGCGGTCATGCCAGGGAACCAAATGCTAAACAGCTAGTTACATAAAACAGCGAGTTATTTCATTACAATGGTGATCCGGGCTATGAAAGAGCTATGACAGAACCTTATGTCTTGTGGATCACCAGGTTCCCTCCCAACCTTTACGAAAGACTAATCTGAACTTGACTAATTACTGCTCCACCTCTTCACCCCTGTCAACTAACGGAAGCACCGTTTCTTTACCAAAGGCTTTGAAAAAGACAATGAGCAAATTGTTGCATACGAAACCTTTAAGTCTCTTTGGTGCTGTTCTTCCAGCATCTGCATTTCACACTTGTGTCTGGCGTGTGCGTCCAGGAGTGCCTTCTCCACTGCTTGTTGCTGGAGTTCTTTAGCCTTTGAAAGAAAAGGTTCGTTTATCCATTATTATTTCAGGGATAATTTCACAGAGAAGCTGCTCGTCATTGAAGAAGTTGGCAAGTTGGGTGTCCGTGCTCAATGAGAAGTAGCAGCCACCATGGGGTCCCTAATTACACCGCTCTTTCTCCTACATCCCACGGAGCCCTGGCTGCCTTAGCTAGACGCACATAACACACCGAGCCCTGGGTGGCCTTTGCTGACTTTTGAATTATTAAAGGAGGGGCAGCTGCGTGTGTGTGTGTGTGTGTGTGTGTGTGTGTGTGTGTGTGTGTGGTGAGTATACATATGTATATGAATATATGTATATGTATGTGGTTGAGTATGTTAACCTAGGAAACACAAGGAAGGGAGCCGACACACGAAGCTAAAAGGCCCTAAGCAGAGAGCATGAATACCATCGAGACCCCCGCATCAGGAGTTAGGAAAGAATTTGTCTTAGATTATTTGAAGAAAATACTCAGATACTAGCTAAACTTAGATTCAAACTGTAGACTGTTAATAAAAGTGTTTCTTTCTATCGGGACACATAAGTAACTGGTGGTTCTTACGGTTTGATTTTTGCAACTACTAGATTCTTAGTGTTATACCTTATCTAGCCCAGAAGAACTTTAATTCTCTTCAGAAAGCCATTTATCTCAATTCATCTAAGACTGGAAGAACTGAGGTGGTGGGTTTGAGGCTTCTCCAACCGTGAGTAAAGTAGTTCTTTCTCCAGTCTTCAAATGGTCCCATGGCTCTAAGCAGCCATGCACACAATGCATCAGGATATGGGCTTTTGCTTTATTTGCTTGTTTAATTCACGTGGGCTCCTTCTTAGATTTTCCAGGCCAACCATGGTCTTGCCAGCCTCCTCCTGCCCCAGCCTCCTGTGTAGCTGAGTCTGTAGGAATGCACCCTGGTGACTAGAAGCACCAAGGACTTTAGAGACAGTAGATAAGGAGAGTCTGCCAAGATAAGGCATTTGGGGAAATGGGCAATAAGTTAGAAGTACTTATTACATACTGCACAGATGGATAGCCCCATACATGAGTAGAAGACCATAGTGAACAATTTACAGTGAAGTTGGCCCTATTCTGTTAAAGTTTCAGTCAAACGAGAAGAAGTGGCTGGAGTCATCGGCACAGAGGCAACTTGGAAGGAAATCCTTGGCAGGACCTGCTCCTTACTAAGCATCACCTGGTGCCAAGTACATTCCTTCATTGAACTCCCTCAACAATCCTTTGAAATGGGAGTCATTACTACCCCACCCCAACCCCACAGAGGAAGACAAGATGGAGAGGGCAAAGGACACACCCAAGAACCCATAGTTGTAAGGACTCGGTGGGCTATCTCTTCGCTGGTTATTCTGAATTTACAGTTTTAGATAAATGCAGAGTGAGGATCCTGTAGAAATGCGGTTAAGGGTAATTTCTGAGTCCTTTACCTGCTCCCACACTTTAGCTTCTGCTTTTTCAATGCTTTCCTTGAGCACAGCCTCTTGATACTGCTCTTCTTGGTTCAGGATACTTGACCCAATATCTGTGTATTTGGACAAACATCATTACAGGGCCCTGTGGACTGTTTCCTGGCTTTCCTCTCTACCATTAGCTAACATTGATGCGAGCCATCTAGAGACACCTCCTATTAGGTGATGTCACTCAATTTAATTACTTTCCGGCACTAAGAACTGAACCCATGATGCTCAGCATGCCCGTTCCGCTGTCTCCCAAGCTTACACTCTCGTCCTTGAAGGTGCCCACTGGAAGGGTAAGTTTTCCACTAACTGACTAAGCGGGAACTCATCCCTGAGGCCTGAATCGAGTCAGTTATTTTTATACACCCTCTCTAAACCACAGGCAATGAAGAGTAAATGTCATGTGAGGTGTGGCACACTCAAAGCAGAGTGTGAACTCACAAGGCATTGGCACACTATCCATCTCTCTCCTCGCTTCTGACAGGGCATCTTTCTTTAATACATCATGGACGTGCCTTTCATTAGTGCTGGCCATTCCGACTCCATCAGCTGTGGAAGGAGCTAAGTTTCCAGGTTATTACTACTCTGCCAATGATCTAATTTGACTTCCACATAACAACATCACATAAGAACTTCTCCACTTAAAGCGTAACTCCAAAGAAGGGAGAGACACACGGAATCAGGTAGGAGGGGACAATTCTGGACCCCCAGCTAAGAACCGGATCCTTTGGTAAGGTCTCAGGGTATGTGCATCTCACCTGAGATGGCCCTTAACACAGGTATAGTCCCTAGCATGTCAATCTCCATGGTGGGATGCGGTGGATATGTGTATTTGCTCAACATCTCCTGCCATGGTAACAGGTCCCACTTCTCTCAAGAACTCCCTCAAGTGGTGTGGTAAGGTTGCCTATAAGCACCATCCAAATTTGCTTGGCCTTTCTTTCTTCTAGAAGCTGATCTGGAACCAGGCACATAGTCAAGCCTGACCAGCCACACTCCTCCCTAGTTAGCTCGCATAAGGATGGAACGAGGAAATAGCTTCTTTTCCCCCGCGACTTCTAAACTGGGGCTAAGGCGTGTTGGAACCATTTGTGCCCATGTCCTTTTCTAGATGCTGAGTAGGCCTGACTGCAGCACCAGCTCGGCCAATTCACCGCGGGTGAACATGGCAGACTAAAATCTTGATAACACCTTGAGTTTTTCTTAAAAGGAACAAGTAATCCATCACAAAACTCCACTTTATGTGTTCTGTTTGAAGTTATTTCCATCACCTACAGATGAAAGATATATTTTTGGGATAGAACTTTATCACTAGATCATTAGTGAGTCTTTTTTTAAAATTTATTCTTTTGTTTTTTTTTAATTTATTTTTATTGCTTTAAATGGTGAGCAGGAGTGTGTATCTATATGTGAGTCTGTTCAGGTACCCCAAGAGCCAGAGACATTGGATTCCCTGGAGCTATAGTTATAAACCCAGTTGATGTGGGTGTTAGAAACTGAAGGTGGGTCCTCTGAAAGAGCAGCAAGTACTCTTAACTGCTGAGACATCTCTCCAGTGTGCCCCCTCCAATGAGTGAGTCTTGAAATATAAAGCAGTAAATATTGTGGGAGAGGTGGATGCATATAATCTCAATATTGTGTAAATTCATCACATTCGTAAGAACGTAACACAAATGTAGGGTGGCATTTTCCTTTTTTATTCTATTTTTTAAAGAAGAAAACAATCATCTTTCATTTTACATACCAACCCCAGTTCCCACTCCCTCCCCCCTCCCATTCCCTCTACCTTCCCTCTAAACCCCCATCCACTCCTCAGAGAGGGTAAGGCACATTGCTTTGGGGAAGGTCTAAGGCCCTCCCTACTAAATCCAGGCTGAACAAGATATCCCTCCAAAGAGAATGGGCTCCAGAAAGCCAGTTCAAGCAGTAGGGATAAATCCTGGTGGCACTGCCAGTGGCCCCACAGTCTGCCCCTTTGGCATTATCCCTTTTAATATTTAAATACTGTACTTGTTGTTCTCAGCCTTAACTTCAGAAGACATCTACAGAACTTTTTGAAAACCTACATGCTGTGAAAGGAGACACTTGATGTGGGATATCCTTCTATATATGAGTTGGTTTTATTGGATAATGAAGAAAGCTGTTTTGGCCAATTGCTTAGCAGAGTAAAGCCAGGTGGGAAATAGAGAGAAAGTAGGTGGAGTCAGCAAGATTCCATGTCGTTGCCGAAGGAGAAAGATGCTTACTGGTAGGCCACAGCCTCATGGTGATGCACAGATTGATAGGAATGGGTTAATTTAAGATCTATAAATACGTATCTAGAAATACACCTGAGACATCAGCCAAACAGTAATTAAGTAATATAGTTTCTGTGTGATTATTCAGGTCTGGGGCAGTCTCCATTTTACAGACACTATTAATAAAAACAACTTCAACGAGTCTAAAAACCATGTAGATTTAAAAGGCAACCTATTATATGATTTTGTTTTGTAGCATTCTCATGTGATAAAATTACAAAGACAGAGAACTAGAAGAATGGCTGCCAGAACTTTGAAAACTGTGACTGGCTGCTAATGGAGAAGATGAAGAGGCTTGTGGTGATGGTTACATGAATATACATGTGATACATTTCATAAAACTACACTTCTAAGGGGGAAATGATTGGCAAGACACGTACCTGAGAGAAGAGCATTGCTCTTACTGTGCTAAATTCCCAGTTTTGACAATGTAGCAAGATTACAAAACTAATGGGAAAAACTGGGGCCCATGGGAACACTTTGATCCCTTTTGCAACCCATGGATTAAACTATTCCAAAACAAAGAGTGTTTTTAAAGACGTAAGAAAAAAAAATGTACATGATGAGGCCTGGTCCCGGAAACTGTAACAGCAGAGAACCACAGCCCTGTGAAATACTCTTGGATGGATACGTCAAGGTGCTGTTGAGCTAACTTATAAAGAAGGCAGAATTTTAGCTCTCTTTTGACTCATAATAATTTAATGACAAACACAGGCAAGTGAATATAAAATACTGATTTCTACATATATTTATCTGTCCAGGGTTTAGATTCATATATCCTATAAAGTATAAGGGATAACTAAAGTATATCAAAAATCATTAAGTAATGGAGATTAACATTGTCTTAGGTCTAAAAATTATTTTAGAGATTACAATTAATAATCCATACCAAAAATTTACAGAACGTTAAAATCAGTTTGGGAACTGATGTTTTAGAAGATTTTATATATTATATATAATTTTTATTTACTTATTATATTTAATTTTATATAATAATTTTATATATTGTATATATTTATATTTCCCCCACCTTTTAGTTCAGCTCTCTAACTTCTCTTTTAGTAAATTAGGAGTGAAATCAAGTAACCGTTAGCTCACCACATGCATGGTAAAGAAGACAGGGAAAAATATTTGAAGAGTCCTTAGAAAATATGCATAAAATCCAGGATGAGACTGAAATTTTTCTGGGTGTAAGTGAGAAATGGAAATATGGATTATAATTCATTTGCTCATAAACTATATGCATATGTATGTGCGTGGTAAATATTCCTATGCTATTTATAGGCATCTGCTTTTGTCACTAGCTACAAAGTAAAGACTAAGTTTCTTCCACTCATTTATTGGGGTATTTAGATATTTTCTCTCCTGCATATATGGAAAGTCCCCAGGTACGGGCAAAATTGGAAAGAACACACATTTACTATGAAGTTTCAGATGTTAAACAGGTACAATATTTCAAAGCTTCAAAACAATTTAAAAGATACATATTAATGTTCTTATTCACAGCAAGAGACCAATTGAGAGGCCAAAACCTCTTTGCCATGCACAAGACTATCAAGTAGAACGGCTATATTCTGACACGTTATCGTTTCATGATGAAATTCTAGAGGCAAGTCACCTCAAACAGGACAGAGCTGAGAAGAAAGGCGCATGTGCTATTCTATGCTATAGCAAATAAAAATAATAAAAATCACTGCCAGGCACGGTGGTGCACACCTCTAATCCCAGCACTTGGGAGGCAGAGGCAGGTGGGTCTCTGTGAGTTCGAGGCCAGCCTGGTCTATAAAGTGAGTTCCAGGATAGCCAGACTTATGGAGAGAGACCTTGTCCCAAAGATCACCACTCCCACCCACCCACCCCCAAAAAAGAGTAAACTCACTTACCCAGTATATCTTTGTGAGTGTAAAAGCGTGTCTTAAATGGCTTGTATTCATGGATCCGTTGGAAGGTTTTTTTGAAAGGGGCTGGTGGGATTACTTTGTTGCAAACAGCACAGCAAACAAAATTAGTATAATCGTGATTCCTGATCATAGTTAAATTTCTGATTTTTTTTTTTACTTCTTATAGTTAAAATAATATCAGGATCAGAAAAAAAAAAGGTAGTTTCAAGAGAAGCTACAAGTCTAAGAAAGCTGGAAGAGGGCCAGGGTTTTAAGATTCTTCTAGAGGCTGGCAAGGACTAAACAAATCATGATTAGGCAGTGGCCATATGTCTAAGGAATGATATACCAGGAGCCTCTGCCATACAAGATGTAGACACTGGATTTGGCAAGAGATGAGCAGTTTCTCCCTCCCAGGGTCCAGCATTAAGTTGTCAACTTACTTAACAACTGTTGCTAGGGAGGACCAGCTTTGCTCATAAAAGCAACCTGAAATAATGACAGCTGAGAGCAGAAGGACCTGCCGTCCACTGCCCTGACTGTCCTCTTGCCGCTGTAACAAGTGGACACAGTCTTCATGACTTACCTGTAATACAAATTTATCCTATTGAATTTCTGGAGATCAGAATCCAAGGGAGACTCGGTTTCCTGTCTTTTCCAGCTTTAACAGCCGTACATCTTCCTAAGACTCACGGCCTCTGCTTCTGTGGAGGAGCCGCTCTTTCCTCTCATCTTTAGCCTCTCTCTGTGGACCTCTGTGTCTATACCAGGCACCTCCACATGAGCCAGGATGACCCTGTTATCTCGAGGTCCTAAATGTGATCAGAGCCGAAAGATCGCTTACCATACATTCACAGGGGCCAGAGGTCAGGATCTGGACAGCTAAAGAAGGAAGCATTAGTGGGCTAACCACATTTTAAGTGTGCTTTCGTTAAAGAATTCATTTTAACTAGTGGACAGTGGAGGCAGTCTCCAGGACATTTTCAGGTTATTGTAAATGTGCTTTGGTGGCGTGGCAATAAAAGTCGGAACTGCAGTGGAATGCTAACTGAAAATTTACTTTCATTAAGTCTGTATTCAAAATCACCGAGCCTGGTTTTCAGACTGGGGGGGGGGGGGGGTCCTAGTTACTTTCCTATTGCTGTGATAAAACACCATGACCAAGGAAGCTTACAGAAGGAAGCCTCCAGTTTGGCTTATGGTTTCAGAGGGTTATGGCGGTGGTCTTGGTGGTGAAATAAAGACGTGCGGCACGAACAACTGAGAACTCACATCTGAAGTTGCAAGCAGGGGCCAGAGAGGGAGTACTTCTGCGGGTTTTTACCGCATCACTGTGGCTTGCCTGGAAACTGAATGGTAGGACAAGCTAGTCTTACACCTGTAACAGCCCTCTTACCTGCTAATTGAAGGCACATGCTACAACACCCAGCTAATCCTGGCTTTTCAACATCGTAAGTAATTTGTTCCTATCACTTTTAAACAAACAAACATCCATTCTGCTGATTATATGAAGCTACCAAAACTGTCACATACAGCGTCCCCAGAAAGACTGGTGTTAAGGAACCAAACCATCGTAGTAGGATGTAGAGTCCTTTGGGTATACACCCAAGAGTGGTATAGCTGGATCTTGAGATAAACAGATTCCCATAATTCTGAGGAACCACCATATTGATTTCCATAGTGGCTGTACATGTTCGTCTTCCCACCAGCAAACCAGGTAAGTGTTCCTCTTGCTCTACATCCTCACCAGTATGAGCTATCAACTTTGTTATAGATCTTGGCCATTCTGACAGGTGTTAAGATGGAATCTCAAAGTAGTTTAGATTTGCATTTCCCTGATGGCTAAGGATGTTGAACATTTCTTTAAGCATTTCTCAGCCATGCTGAGATTCCCCTACTGAGAATTCTGTTTAGATCTGTACTCTCATTTTTAAATTGGACTATTGGTTTCTAATATCTAGTTTCTTGAGTTCTTTATTTATTTTGGATATTACTCCTACATCAGATGTGGAGTTGGTAGAAATCTTTTCCCATTCTGAAGGCTGCTGCTTTGTCTGAATGATGGTGTCCTTTGCCTTACAGAAGCTTTACAGTTTCATGGGGCCAATTATTTATTAATTGTAGATCTTGGTGCCTGCACTAATAGTGTTCTGTTCAGAAAGTCTTCTCCTGTGCCAATGTGTTCAAGGTTATTCTCCACTTTCTCTTCTATCGGGTTCAGTATAACATTTTTAAAATATTATACTTCAATTACTTTGTCTTATCGTTTCATTTAATCATGATTTTAGTAGTGCAAGGGGATATCTTCTCTATTAGACAGCAAAACATTGCTGCAAAGGTGCAGTTCACTTTAAAACATGAGAAACTCCATGCAAGTTTAACAGGACTGGGTACTTTTATTATACAGAATTGAACAAAAACACTCCCATTCTTACGGCATTTTCACAGAAGAAACATTGAGACATTCCTTTGTGGGAAGAGAAAGGGCTAACAGCCGCAGCTGTAGCGGGACTATATTTAGCACAGTAGACTGCTTCCAATTGTGTATTCTCTCTTGTTAACAGATTACGGAACAAGAAACATAATTCCATGCTATCAGAGAGTCTTTCATTTAAAGATTTCCGAGCCTGCAATAACGCTCCGTCTGAAGCAAACAGCACTTAATCCCATTTGGATGTCTTTCTCCTCATGTGACGATGCCCTTCACTATCAATGGCTTCATAGAGGTCCTTTTTGTTCTCTTGTGCTGCGTGCAGATAACCAATGTAAGCCACACAAAGGGAGAGGGCTACCAGTCCAAAGGCCATTACAGGTTTGTTCTGTTAGAAAAGAGAGAGGGAGGGAGGGAGAGAGAGAGAGAGACAGAGAGAGACAGAGAGAGACAGAGAGAGAGAGAGAGAGAATGAATTACAAAGTGCCAGTGAGACTAGTCATTTCAGGAGAGCCAAATATCACACTGCACGTCCCTCTTGGCATGACAAGTCATTATTATCACCCCTGCTTCCTAAAGACGGCATTTTCATTCCCATCATTTTATTCTATCAGCTTAACTCCTGAGTATTTACAGCTGATTTGAGACTCTTGCTTTTCATCTCCTTCTCTTTGTAGCCAGGTAGCTTAGACCTGTGCCCTAGGAAGGTAAAAACTGAGCAAAGATGGAGGCATGGGACACGGTTCTGGAACTGGCCCTTCTCTGAGCTGCCGCTTAGCTTATGAGAACGTGAGGAATTTAACAGTCATAACTTATGTACAGCAATGAAACGGATGTAAAAACATGTGCGCGTGCTCTCTCTCTCCCTCCCTCTCTCAGCTGCTGGATTTGGTTCCTGTTCCCCACCCATGCAGAGGACTATTGATCTGTGAGTCTACTCCTAACTAAAGAAACCTTTATTATACTCAATTCTGAGCTAGTGTGGGACTACTTTATCACGATCCTCTACACTCCATGTCTACTTTAGTAATTCCCCGTGCCTGAGCCATCTCTCCAGCCCTTGTCTTTACCTTCTAAGACAGAGTCTCAGGCTGTAGACCCAGGCTGGCCTCAAACCTGCTTATCCTTCAACCCTTGTTTCCCAAGGGCTGGGATTACAGGAATGAACCACCATGACCAGCTTAGGGGCCTTCCTAGTCGGCATAAAACGTCCTTGGTACAAACCCAATGCTACAGAAAAGGGAACAAGTCTCCTGGATGCAGGCCTTACAGGTTTAATGAAGAGCTCAGGATTCACAGCTCGAAATAAGGTTGTGGTGTGTGTCCCTCGGAGGCCTGGGTTTTCAAAGTTCCTCTCTTTCGGTGGGTCTTTCTTTGCTGCTGGAGGCTCAGGTGCTGAGGACATCTTGACTACTGAAGAATATCACCTAAAAGCAACGCATATATACATTTCCTTCATACTTAGTTTTTGATAAACCTATCTTTATTTGAAACAAAGCCTTGCTTTGCAGCCCTGGCTGGCCTGGAACTCCCATAGTAGACCACGCTAGCCTTGAACATGGGAGACCCGCCTACCTCTGACTCACAAGTGGTGGGATTAACGGGGTGCTCCATCAGGTTGGCCCAGAAGCTCTTAAAACAAACAAATGAACAAACACACTGTTTTTAAATTCTAGATGTGCTCCAAGAATGATCACTGCTTGATTATTTTTAAACGGCACTTTAGGTTTTGTTGGGTGAATCGACCCCTCCCATCTGTTTTCGCTCTTCCTCTTCCTCCTTCCACTCTGTCTCCTCCCTTGCTCGGTTAAGCAAACTGAGCAGAGTCTGGAAAATGGTTTGTTGGTCTCATTTACACTGTAGTCGGGGCTGAAGCAGAAGAGAGCTGAGGACAACTCACTCCCCTCTGCATTTCCGCCATTTCTACTTTCCCTCACCAATAGCTCTCCCATAGCAGCCTGAGGGAAATACTACCCCTCCTTTCTCTGTATCTCCTCCAGCAGCTTCAGCCCAGACCATAGGCTGCCGTCCTCTGCCACCCTTCAGGACCCCGAAGCCCTCCCGTGTGCAAACAGTAAGAATAAGCAGCCATCTCTATCCTTCCCAGTCGGCAACTCTCCGATGAGCACAGGACATGCTAGCTCCTTAATCTCAACACCCATTTCTCTACCCAGTCAAGTCCAGTGTGTCTTACTGCCTCCTGGTTCTTCTGCTCAGGATAACAACGTCTGGGGACTATTTGTTTTCTTCTGGGTATCATTCCTACCACATAATGCAGAGGAGTAGGGAAAGAAACGCCCCGCAGACTTGATCAAGACAACGCCAGGGGAAGACTGCAGCTTCAGGAACAGTAAACGCTATGAAGATTTAGCTTTCACACTTAGGCGCCAGTGCTCTGTCTGGACAAGTATTCTTGTTTCTTAAGGCTTCGGTTTCACAGAAACGAAAAGCAGAGTTTTTGCGGCATTACACTTACAGAGAAACCCAGATGCTCAATACTTTCGCCGCAGCGACCACTAAGTATCCACCTTCAGCGTTTAACTGGGTTAATTACTTTCAGGAACATCAGCGTACGAGGAGAGCATTTCCCATTCTCTACACTTGCCGAGTAAAGGTGGCTGCATCATTTTTTTCTCTGTCTATGCTATGGCTATTATACGGCTATTACTGCCAGGTCTTGTCCCATCACAGCTGACTGTCTAGCTTCATCTCAGACCATGTCGGAGTCACTAACTCTTGAGTCAAATTGTTCCCGGTAACCAAAGTCTTTAGAACCTAACTTGTGATAGATAGCTCGTGACAGCAGTGACATCAGCAACTGAGGGCAGAAGCCATTTAAATATGTCATTGGCTGTGGTGTTCCTCTAGGTGTAGCGGGAAGCTCTCACAGGAGCTATACCTGCTTTCTGTCATCTCACCATAGAGACGACTTCAAGGACCACTGGGTCTCAGCGACTGTGTGACTGCATCGCTTCAAGTGCGAGCACTCAGTTTTTTTCCTCCTCAGCTACAATTTGAGTTTTTCCGTAACTGGTTTCAAAAGTGAACTTCCACTGTGTGAATTAAACTTTGATCTGAAGCCTGCTATAAAAAAAAAAAAAAAATGGGCTGGCGGTGGTAGCCTTAATCCCAGCACTTGGGAAGCAGAACTCTGTGAGTTCGAGGCCAGCCTGGTCTACAGAAAGAGTTCCAGGACAGCCAGGGCTACACAGAGAAACACTGTCTCAAGAGGGAGCCAGTCCAATGGGATCAGTAAGTTCCAGATCCCAGCGAGAAAAATCTCAGACAACAAGATAGCTGGCTCTGGAGGACATCCGAGGATGACCTCTGGCTTCTGCACACATCCACACATATGTGCACCGGAACACAAGACTACCTGTGCTTGTACACAGAAAGTTCGCTCAGCAAAGTTGGCATGGTTACCTGTATTACATTGTACATGAAAATAAAGACAATATGAGAATTACTTTAGGAAAAAAATTCTATTTTCAAATATATATAGAAAAAACGCTTCAAATGGACAAAAAATTTTAATGACAGTAAAAAAACACTATTGAATTTCACTTACCACATTCTTTAAATGCTTAAGAAAGCAACTTCGAGTCTTGAGTAGGACACCGTAAATAATTTAAATTGCCTGGCAGTGGTGGCACATGCCTTTAATCTCAACACTTGGGAGGCAGAGGATTGGTTTATAGAGTGAGTCCCAAAACATCCAGAGCTTCACAAGGAAACCTGTCTCAAAAAACCAGTAATAATAATGATAATAATAATAAACAAGTTTGAAAAGGAATCAGAGGACTTTATGGCTTGAGGAAATCAAGCAGATTCCTATCCTCAATTTTGGTTCTTTATAAAAGGACCGGTACTACTGATTGAAGCATTACAGATGTGGATTTAACATTTTTTTAAAGGAAAGAGGTTAACGAAATAGTAGTCATCTTACAAACCAACCTTCCTAGCACCGGCTGTCTTTTCACTAGGTGGGTAGGATAACCCAGTTCTTCCAACTTCAGCCAACTCTCCATCACCTCACTTTCTTTCTCGAAAATTATTTTTGAGGAATGTATTTTGCACAAGACACAAGACCCATAAGATTTGCTATCACTTAAATTTAAAAATTAATTCTAACCGTTTTTACTGTAAAATAATAACTTTAAAAAATATCTCTCTCACACACACAAACACACACGAGTAACTTTTCTGGCTCGTGATTTGCCCCATTTGTGGGTTAAGGAAAGGTTTTGTCACTGTGGCAAGCAATCTGGAAGCTGTACAGCTATGCAGACCCTGGTCCGGTTGTTTAGGCTCCAGAAGTAACAACGATCAATTAAGTCTGAATATTTAACTGTCAGAAACCTGTTTAATTGACCATAGCTACTTCTGGAGGCTTCGGATGCCTCTGGTTTCTAGCTCTCCACCGGGAACTGCGGGTAGATGACAGCTTAGCAGGGACCGACCAGCCTGACCCGAGGCCGCCACAGGAGCCTAGACGTCGCTTGCAAACCACGGTACACTCCAGCTAGAGCCCTCAGGACCTGACCTTTGGCAACCGCAAAGACGGAAGCTCCTGCACAAACACCGACGCGGGGCCACTACACTCAAACACCCCGGGTCCGTGCATACCGCAGCACTCACCTTCCGGCCCTCCCTCCAATGCGCTCCCTCCGCTACCGGCCTCGGAGTGCGGGGAAGGCCGCACCACAGCGCCACCTATGCCCCGGAGGCCGCAGAGCAGGAGCCCGGGCCGACCCGGTCCTCTTCCAGGAGCCCAGGCACAGGAACTCCTGAGCAGGCTGCAGTTTGCTTTCTTGGGGGTCTTTGACTTTCAGCTTCTCACATTCAAATAAGCTTTCGTTTCGTGGATAGATGATAGATAGATATATAGATATATAGATATATAGATAGATGGATGGATGGATGGATGGATGGATGGATGGATGGGCGGGCGGGCGGACAGATAGATAGATAGATAGATAGATAGATAGATAGATAGATAGATAGATAGATAGATAGATGGATGGATGGATGGATGGATGGATGGATGGATGGATGGATGGATGGATGGGCGGGCGGGCGGGCGGGCGGGCGGGCCGGCGGGCGGGCGGGCGGGCGGACGGACGGACGGACGGACGGACGGACAGACAGACAGACAGACAGACAGATAGATAGATAGATAGATAGAAATTCGCATTTAATGGACGTGGAACGTGTATGGCTTAATAGAGAACCAGATCACAAGAGCCACTGAGGCCGAAAGGCAAAGCCTTACTTAGGGTAGAACTGCTTGGTGTTCCCAAGAGAAGGAAAGACAGCGCTGCCGAAAAGGAGTCTGGGGTTTTATAAGATGCCTTTTGTTGGGAGGGGGTGTGGTGGGCTTGCGTTAAGGGACAAGGGATTGGAGTTCTGGCTGTTCGAACAGCGGGTTGTAGCTCCCTGAGGAAGGGAGTACACAGACTTCTGAGAAGTGCAAACCGTTCACTTTCCATTTCCCCTACAGGGCTGGGTCCCACACGGGTCATCCATCTTGGTGTCTTAGCTGACTCTATCTTGGCCCAAAGATCTGGGTTACCCAACATAAAGTTTTCCGAATGTGGAGAAAGCCTGAGCTTTGTCTTCTTCCATTTTAGGATCCATAGACACAATCAACTCTCTGATGTTCTTCTGTTAGGGCCTAGAGGTTCAAAGACAGCAGGTGTCCCACAGCTCTGAAACCACAGGCAGGAATGCTGGCTACACACCTTGCTGACTTTTTGTTTGTTTGTTGGGATATTTTATATAATAGCAAACACCTCAATTTTCATGTGTTTTAAGTAAAGCCTTTGCAGATGAATGTTTTTATTGTAAAACTTGTTCTTTCAAGTAAAACTTAATTTAACAGTTGACTTTGTTGTGCCTGGAATGATAAAACTATGGCACAGAAATGAGAGCATTTAGCAGATTAGAAGTCTTAAGAAATAATCGAAACCGTGGCTAAGATCATGCAGAGTCTCTTAGCAGTTTCACATATGATGCATCCTTTATTTGAGGACAGCATATTAAACGGACATTGAAATAGCTGGATAGCTTACTGTGCCCACACCATGGCATTGGCCAGGTGTTGCAGCCCTCTGAAATGACGCACCTTCTTCCTTGGAGGAAATACGTGCTGTTTAAAGGAAGACCCAGCCGTGTGTGGTGCTTTTCAGCTGATAATGCTGAGCCATGGGGCAGGGATTTCCAAGCCTCAGACATTCTTAGTCAAGCCAGAGGCAGGGCGTTTTTCCCTGGCCCTGGATCCTACATTTCCCCCATTTTTTATTTTTTTATTTTTTTCTACTTTTAGTGGTCAATGAAGAGGGCAACATTATCATTAAACTACTTCCTGTTGTATGAGGGTGCTGAAGTCCATGGGAGCAAGCTTGATCTTCATTGTCAGGGCATAACTGGGGGTCATAGGCAACTGGTCCTATAGTCAGGGGCTGATGTTCCTGTAATAGCAACTGATTAAAGGTTTGGTTAGAAATCCTTTGAATATAGACAAGAAGTTCATTAAACAGGGTGCAATTAGTAGGATTAGCAAAAGGAGGAGAAAGGGAGTTAAGGAATGCAGTATCCAACTTCATAATAGAATGTCAGCAATCCATTGGCCAGAGGAATCAAGCTGTTCCTTCCATGTTTGGAGATCTGTCTGGAGTTATTGAGTCTTGTCTCTTACCATATCTTACTGGTTGACATAGAACCAACATCTCTCCCTGAAGAAGAGGCAATGACCACCCTTCTCCACTATTAGTAAGTCTAATCCTTGCCAGTTTTATAGAACCACAGTAGCCAGAGAGGCTATTTGTCCCTGGAGGGTGAGAATGGTCTGAACCACCTGTTGGAGGTCCTGGATGAACTGAGAGGAAAATTGATAGTAGATAGTTAAAGAAGATAGTCCCACTGTCCCAGCGGAGATGCCAATAGTTATACTGTTAAATCCAGCTTAACAACAGGGATTCTATTTCTACTCAGGATGTCATATTTCAGCACAAGGATGTAAAAATCACTAAAGTTATTTCAGCCCAGGTGTCTAGGAAGTGGCCAAACCACAAATGTTCTACCCTCCTCCTGGTTGGTTGGCAAGGGCAAGACCACAAACTTCAAAGACTCCCTGATAGGCTAGAAGTTTGTCACCGTGGAAAGTCCCCAAACAATCTCTCCACCATGTTCTGTTATGATTGGATGAAATTATGGTGTTGTCTCCTTGTGATTTTTTTTTTCCTTCAAAATACTTGCTTTCCTCCACTTCAAGGATGTGGCTTGGATCCTGATATCTGCAGCCTAGTATATATCAACCTTTTCAATAAATTTCCTGTTTGCTCAAACTTGGTCCTTCCTAGTGGATTCTCAGACCCTAACATCTGGGGACTAATCTGGGATCTAGGTATCCACTGGCTTGATTCTATAGCTCTGGCAACCTTGGCGATCTCTGGTGGTGAGTACTAAAGATTTTAAGTCTGTAATGCCTTTTTTTCTGAGGACCCAAGAAAGGAGAAACTGGATGTAGTATTACTTCTAGGGTCATAGGGAGATGAGAGACTTCTCAACCCCTTATCTGGCCTCCGGGCTCCCATGTTGGAAGTGTCTGAGGCATCAAGTTTCTGGGACTTAGCTGAAGAAGCAGTTGTTCTAGTGGCTCTAAGTGGAGACAGCACTACAGAAAGAAGATTGCAGTGAATCAGCTCAACTTTATTCCAGAGTATAAGGAATATCTAAGATTGCCTGAGGACAAACCCTAATTTGCATCAAGTGGCATGCTCTTATCACAAGGTTTGTTATGGTGCAGTGGGGTCCTATAACAGAACTCCTAGCCCACATCCTCTTAGCAGGAATCTGTGTCAATGGTCAAGCTAAAGATGAATCAGACGCCTGATTTAGAAGCAGCTTTCAGATAAGGTCAGCCCTTCAGGCCCAGGAACATTGTTCAGATAAAGGCACGTAGAGAACAGGAAGCCTTGCTGGGAAGGGAGAGAGTTTCCATATTACTGAGTTTAGAGAAAGCTGCCAAGCTATGTCAGACTGTTAGGAAAGTCGACCTAGGGAAAGGCATGACTCATTCCTTCATAGTGACCCCTAAAAGCCCTTGTCCCCTCCTAGGACAAGACTTGATGTAAAAATTGAAAACTCAGATTATCCTCAAAGATGACACATAAACACAGACTTCCTCGGAAGAGAGTCCCAACTCTGTAATCTTTGTTACTCTTCCCCTGGGGAAATAATACCTCCTTAATTCACCACGAGAGGGAGCCAAGAGATGCCCCTATTAAAGAAGCTTCAATTAAAGTTCCAACTGGTGTGGGCAGACTATAACCCACCCGGATTAGCACAGCACTTAACTCCAATCATAGGCAGCTGAAGCCAGGAGCAGCACCTGCCTGGGTTAAACAATACCCGATGTCATCTGAGGCACACAGAGGCATTAGGACTCACATTACTTTAGGGAGGTGGAAGTTCTGGTCCCCTGCCAATTTCCCTGGAACACTCCATTCCCCCCAAAACCAGTGATTTCAGGTCCATCCAGAACCTGAGGGAGGCAAACAAATGTGTCGAGGACAAACACCCCATGGTGCTAAACCCTTACACTTTGCTTAGCCTATTAGCCCCAGAAAAAAAAAAAAAGCCTTGGACTTGGACCTGAAGGATGCTTTTTTTTTTTTTTCAGTATCCCTTTGGTCAAATAGAGCCAGCCCCTGTTACCTTCAAATGAACCAACCTAGATACTGGGTCCCATGGCCAGTTGACCTAGAATTGACTACCACAAGGATTTAAGAACTCAACAACCCTTTTTGATGAGACCTTCCATGAAGACCTGGGTGAGTACTGTCTCCGAGATCTCCAGGTCACACCTCTGTAGTATGTGGATGACTTGCTGGTAGTGGGTGAAGATGAAGCTTTCTGTCAAGAGGCCACTGAAGGACTATTGCAGACCCTACAAACTCTGGGATACCAAGTGTCAGCCAGAATGACTCCGTTTTGCACCAGGGCAACTACCTACCTGAGATTCGAACTCCACAAAGGTAAAAGGGCTTTGTCTGCCTCCCGCAAACCAGTCGTCTTGGGGCTCCTGACTCCCCTCACCAAAAGACAGGTGTGGAAATTTCTGGGAAAGGTGGGGTATTGCTCTGTGAGAGAGATTTCTCTCCAGGCAGTCTCCAGCTGGCATCCTAATATAGACTCTCAATTCAGACTTTGGTTGTGCTGAGTGGTCTCTGGTTTTTTGTTTGATTGTTTGTTTTACCCCATTACAAAGACAATGTTTCAATTATTAGAAACTATGCCCCCAAATGAAAGGGCACCCACATTTGCAAAGGAAA